ATCTCAAGACACCAAGCGCGTGCGCCTGTCGAATCCAGAGCTCGGAACTCGGTCTTCTGCCCGAGCTAGGCGCGTGAAACTGTTCGTACTGTTCGAGTAATCTTGAGAGGTGTTGTCGGTTTTCTGCACTTACCTCGGGCTCGAGGGGGGCTACAGGGCTGGTAATCACAGAAATCGATTTTGAGACATGAGGCGCGTCCGCCTGTCGATTCCAGAGCTCGGAGTTCGGTCTGCTGGCCCGAGCTAGGTCCGCGAAACTATTCGTAGCTGTCGGTTTTCTGCACTTATCTCGGCTGTAGCGGGGTTTCAGGGCTGGTAATCACAGGAATCAATTTGGAGACATCAAGCGGGTTTGTCTGTCGCATTCAGAGTTCTGAACTCTCCGATACTCGAGCTAGATTCATATTGTTCGAGTCATCTTGAGAGGTGTCGATTTACGCACGCGTAACTCGGGCTGTAGGAGAGCTACAGAGCTCGTGCGCAGAGAAAGCGATCCAGAAGCATCAGGGGCGTTCGGCTGTTGCATCGAGAGGTCTGAAATCGCTCTGGCTGAATAACTATTCGTTCTCTGCAATTTTTCGACATTATATATGGTCAGGAAGCTCTACGAGTCCCCCGGCGGTGAGAAAGGTTGACGGTTTACCGCTGGCGCCCAGTTTCATAATTTATTTTGAGAAACTAGATTTTTCGCATCTCAAGTGACTTATGTCGCGTCTGCCAGTCAAATTCAGGTCCATAGATGCAGTATTACTATTAAAACACTTGGCGGAACCGACCTTGATGAAATCCCCAAAACGTCATTTTTCGAGTTTGTCGGCTCTTGCTTTAGAATCTTCCTTCATGTGTTCAGAGGAGCGCTCTACGAGGTGCCCGGTGGTAACCTGGTTGACGGGTTACCGCCGGTTCCCATCCAGTGTGTGTTCTCCTTGCTCTCTGGGTTTTGGACGCTACCGATTGGTCGACCTGGCCCTGACGGACAGTGTGTGAGCTTTGGGTCGGTTCGACGAGCTTTGTGAGATTGTGTGAAGAGTGGATTGTCCCGTGTCTGCAAGTCAAATTCTCAGGTCTGTAGCTGCAGTATTACTATCAAAACACATGGCAAAACTGTCTCTGGGCGACAACTTGAAAACCTACTTTTTTGAGTCTTGAGCTCGCATATGAGAAAGCTCTCTCCACGTGTTGCAAGCATCACCGTGCGAGGAAAGAGCTCTCCGAGGCGGCGGTAACTAGTTGAGGGTTTACCGCCGACCCCCAGTCGCACGCTGAGCCGCGTGCGTGCTGTTTTTCTTCCTGTGCCTCTTCGTAGAGCTCTTCGTTATCGATGAGCTTAAGGAATTCCGGCGCGAGGTGGAGCTAGTTGGTCGACCCGACGAGAAGAGACAATGTGATAACTTCGGGTCGGTTTTCCTAAGATATGAAAGATATGTGACAATTTATTTTGAGGAACCAGATTTTTCGCACCTCTAGTGGCTTGTGCCGCGTCTGCCAGTCAAATATTCAGGTCCGTAGGTGCAGTATTACTATCAAAACACTTGGCGGAACCGACTGTGTTCCGAGTCATCTTGAGACGCGTTCGCGGCTTTCTGTATTTAACTCGAGATTTCAACTAGCCAGAGAGCTGATACTCAGAGAAATAATCATCAGGCGCGTTCGTCTGTTGCATCGAGAGACCTGGACTTGGTCTGCTACTCGAGCTAGGTCCGTCAAACTATTTGTATTATTCGAGTCATTTTGACCAGTGATGTACTCAACTCAAGATTCGGAGGAGCTACAGAGCTGATACGCACATAAAACAATTCAGTGCTGAGCAAGAAAAGAGCTCTGCGAGGTCCCCGGCGGTAACCTGGCTCAAAGAGCTCTACGAGGTAAACGGCCATTTTGGCTCAAGAGCTCTACGAGGTCCCCGGCGGTAACCTGGTTGCTGCTGTCCCTCCTCGGGATCTCAGCGGCGACCTGGCCCGTCGGAGGCCTCCTCGAGCGGCATCGTGCCGTGCCTGGCGTTTGGTTCTCTTTACCGTACACGGTGCTTCAGTGTCTGTTTTGCCTGAGTACCGTACACTCTTATTGATTGTCTTGGTACGGGTTTGAATTTGTGTTTCTCTTTGTTCTCATATGGTCGTTTCTTCAGAAGTTGTCAATTGGCTTTGCTCAACAGTGAGGACGCTCCAAAAGAGAGTCGCCGAATTGGAGCGAGCCAGAGAGACGCCGCGCGTGATCTCATTGTTCGGCGCATTGGAATTCAGAGTTGTGGCTCCGAGGTATATTAAATATGGATCAGAGTTGCGGCAGGGCGTTTGTGTGCAGAAGATATATGCTCCCCGATATTTTCGATATCTCGATTCTACTTCCGAGGGTAGCTCAGCTGCTGTTTTTGACGATATGGAGGAGGAGGAGGAGGCGGCATTTGCTTCATGTGGTCTCGCGCATTCGGGCTTCTCTTCAGGGAGTACGATTTATCTTTTTGATGCCATTTGTGGAAAGGAGGAACATGAAATGAGTGGTTCCAGGACGGAAGATCCCTATGCAAGCTTGGCAAAGTCTTCCCCTCGGCAAAATGTTGGGGCGCCAGTTGCTTCGGCAGCTGTTGGAATGCACGTTCATACTGCAGATGTTGGCATGCAGGTTTCTTCAGCAGATGTTGGAATGCAAGTTTCTGGGAGTGCTTCAGCAGATGTTGCGATGCAAGTTTCTTCAGCAGACGTGGGAACGCAAGTTTCTTCAGCAGATGTTGGCATGCATGTTTTTTTCAGCAGATGTTGGAAGGCACGTTTCTGGGAGTGCTTCAACAGGCGTTGGAATGCAAGTTTCTTCAGCAAATGTGAGATTGCAAGTTTCTTCAGCAGAATAAGATGTTGGAATGCATGTTTCTTCAGCAGAGGTTGAAATGCACGTTTCTGGGAGTGCTTCAACAGGCGTTGGGATGGAAGTTTCTTCAGCAGATGTTGGATTGCAAGTTTCTTCAGCAGAACAAGATGTTGGCATGCATGTTTCGTCAGCAGATGTTGAAATGCACGTTTCTGGGAGTGCTTCAACAGACGTTGGAATGCAAGTTTCTTCAGCATATGTTGGATTGCAAGTTTCTTCAGCAGAACAAGATGCGGAGGTTGGAATGCGAGTCTCTTCAGCTGGTAGTGCAACAACTTGCGCGCGAGTGAATCGATCTGAGGTTAGGGTGCCAGATAAGATGGAGCAGTTTGATCAGTTCGTAATTGAGGTTGGAGTGCACGGGCGAAGTTACTTGATAGATGACATGCTTCGCATAAGCTTCACGTCACAAGACGTGTTTCGTCTCGCCAGATGTCTGGGCAGAAAGTTCGGCACTCCAGTTGCCTCTAAGACTCGGTGCCGGAAGCTCGGTTACGGGTATAGCCTCAATCACGACATTCTTTTTGGTGTGTTCTATATGTGTACCAGATTGAAATTATCAGAAATTCACGGTTTCACCAGGCAATGGGCAACGCGCGATACCGTTGTTGAGGGCATCCTGCAAGACCTCATTGTGGTGCAAGGTGGGCCTAGAACTCTGGGCGAACATGTTCATGCAAGTTTTTGGAAGGAGGACTTCAGCCAATGGACGTTGCAAGATACGCGCCGAGTTCTCGGTTCAGTTGGGACAGGTGTTTCTTCAGCAGATGTTGGAATGCGAGTCTCTTTCGCAGATGTTTGAATGCAAGTTTCTGGGCGTGCTTCAACAGATGTTTGAAGGCAAGTTTCCTTAGTTGAATTTCCAACCTCATGCGTTCATTGCACGTTTAATGTCATGAGTTCAGTGAGCTTCCAACTTATCAATTCATTGCATATCCATTTTGTAATTTGCATATCCACTCCGTATGTTGCCTGTTCATAATTCACTTTGTTTGTTTGTGTGTGTGTGTTCATAATTCAGTTTGCATTTCTTACCTGCATTCTGACCTTTAATCCCTTGTGCATTCTCAGTGGTGTTGAGACGGTAATCGCTGTATAAACCAGTGGTTGCTGTATGGTCTCTCACTGCTTCTCGTGTGGTCGCTGTATAAACCAGTGGTTACTGCGTCTCACTGTTTTGGTGTTATAATCTAGTGTATTGGCAGTCTTGTGCATATCTGTACAGCCTCGCTGTTTGATGCACCTCTGCTTTAATCTTTGCAGCTTCGCTGTCTTCCTGTACAGCTTCGCTGTTTAGGTTCTTTGTTTAGGCCTGCTCCCATGGGAGCTCGAACCGGCCTTCGCAAAAGACGCAACAACCTGGCTCAAGGCTCAAGGCTCCGCGAATGTTCATTTTCTCCTGCCTGGGGAACCTCCGCGATGGTGAACGTTGAGCTAGCGTTCTGCTTACGCAACTGCCCATCTCCCTTTACATCCTGCTTGTCATTGTTGGTCTCTCATATCCATTTCTCGTTGCGGTTTGGTGGTGGCAATTTGTATACGCTGACTTGTTCCTCACCGCCTAGAGTGGTGCTCGTAAGTCTCTGTTCTTTCAGATCTGCCTTGAGTGGATTGCATATTGTTCAATTCGCAGTATTTCATTGTTGTGATCTCTCAGGTGTCCTCACACATCTTCCCTCGGTTTTCTGCCATATACTTATCATTTGTGGTCTTGTTTGTGCCAGATGCCTCATGTGCGGAGTCTCGCATCCAGGTGTTTGCGTCGGGCTCGGGCTTGCCAACTTGGATGTGTTCGACCGAATTGTCCTCTTCCGGTGGTGCTCGAAGGCCTAGTCTCCCGTGACACGGTCTTGCATGCAGAGTTGGATGCTCAGGCTAATAAGTTGTTGACAGCATTACTCCATCCCTCTGATAGCTGCCCGAAAGTTGATTCCCTTGCACTTCGCGGTTTTTCTTCTGCTATTGATGCTGGGGTCCAGGTTGACGAGGTCGAATATCCTTCTCAAAGCATTCGAGTATTTTGAATTGATGCTGGTGTCCAGGTTGACGAAGTGCACTGTCCCTTTCAGAGCATTCGAGTGTCCTCAATTGATGCTGAGGTCCAAGTGCATTCTCAAAGCATTCGAGTGTCTTCAATGGGTGCCGGCGTGCAAACTCAGTTCACTTGCGAGGACGCCTGTGTGCAAACTCAGTTCACTTCAATGGATGCTGGCGTGCATACTCAGTTCACTTTGAAGGACGCCTGTGTGCAAACTCAGCTCACTTTCCAGGGCGCCGTCAAAACGTGGATTGACAGGAGCACTGCCCAGAAGGGGTTCACTGGCCAGATTGCGCTGCAGTATTTAATCCAGGGGCTTGAATTATTCGTAGACCTCATGACAGAGCCAATGACCATCCCAAAACATCATGTATCATTTTGGTTCCATTCTTTGTTCAACCTCACGGATCATGTTCAGTCGTTTCTGGGAGAACTTTTGGATTGTCTCAAATCTCACCGTTTCGTGACGGGGAAAATGGACCGTGCCGAGGAGGCCAGGTTTAAAGCTCCAGGGTACATTGTCGATTGTTTTAGTTTTGTTCCAGACGGACTCTTCGAGAGTGCCAGTCGCGCAGACCCGCGGAGACTCGCAGCATACACCCGGAGACTACAGCACATGTGGGAGCCCCAAGAGCTCAGAATTACGTCGCCACGTGGACGAATCGCCTCTCCGTCGGGGTCGTCGTCTGTCCGTGTCGCTTCGGATGTGATAGCCAAGACTGGACATCAAAAGTTGGTTCCCGAATCTTCCCAAAGCATTCGAGTTTCTCCCGATAACGGTGGGAGCTCTAGAGGTAGCCGCAAAGGCAGAGGCAAAGGCAAACGATAGGGCAGCTTTGAACATGATTGTCTGCATACATTACCTCTCTGTGTATTGTACGCTGTATTGTGTTGGATTGTTGATTGTGATTGCCTCGCGTGGTCTTTTGATTGTTGTTTGTGATTGCCTCGTGTGGTCATTCTGTGCTTTGTTTGAGCTCTAATAATTCAGTGTGTGCATGTTCAGTTCTTGGCCAGGTCTCCTGGCTCTCTTGTCGTAGTTTCAGTTTTGCCTCATCAGTGTTCTCACTGTTGTAGGGTTGTACGAGCCTTCAGCGGCGGAGCGCATCTGCGATGTTCTCCCACAGGTTGTGCGAACGTCTTTGGTCTTGCATGTTTCTGTTTCTTTATGAGCGGACTGCTTGCTTGGCAATTTTGAGGCTTCGCTTCGCCTGAGACTTCGTTGGACCTGGCCTCAGTGGCCAAGATGGTCCCAGCAAAGACGCAAAAAACCTGGTTCACGGTTTACCGCCGGTTCCAATAGCTCGCAGAGCTCTTCGGCATCGATGAGCTAAAGGAATTTCGGCGCGGGTTGGAGCTAGTTGGGCCGACCCGACCAGCACGGAGAATATGACAAATTTGGGTCGGTTTTCCAAAGATTTGAAAGATATTTGCAATTCATTTCGAGAAAGCAGCTTTTTACGCCAAGCATTTGTATCTGAACTCCCTGGTCGGGTCGGCCAACTAGCTCCTCTACGAGGTTCCCGGGGGTGACCAGCTTGACGATTCACCGCCGGCGCCAGTCGCTCTGAGCTAGAGGAATTCCGGCGCGGGGTGGAGCTAGTACCTCGTAGAGCTCTTCGGCATGGATGAGCTAGAGGAATGCCGGCGCGGGGTGGAGCTAGTTGGCCGACCCGACCAAACGGACAATGTGGTGAGTTTTGGTCGGTTTTGCTAAGATTTGAAAGATATTCAACCATTCATTTTGAGAAAGCAGATTTTTCGCACCTGTGGAAGACTATGAGGCCTCTGCGTTTTATCACGAGCTCGCTAGGCGCACTTTTGCTATCAAAACACTTGGCGGAACCATCATCATGTCGACGTGAACAAAATCATTTTTTCCCTTTTTAGAAATGCTTCGAGAAGCTCTCTCTTTCGATTCTGAGCACTCTCACGTGCAGAAGGAGCTCTACGAGGTTCCCGGCGGTGACCAGGTTGACGGTTCACCGTCGGCGCCAGTCGGTCGACCCGACGAGAAGAGACAATGTGACAACATTGGGTCGGTTTTTCTAAGATTTGAAAGATATTTAACAATTCGTTCTGAGAAACCAGATTTTTCGCACGTGTAGTGGGTTATGCCGCGTCTGCCAGTCAAATTCTCAGGTCCGTAGGTGCAGTAGTAAAACTTGGCGGAGCCGTTTTTGGATAAAAACTTAAAAACGTGATTTTTCGAGTTTTTCGGGTCTTGCTCCAGACGCTTCGTTTATGTGTGCCGAGGAGCGCCGTGCGAGAAAAGAGCTCTACGAGGGCCCCGGTGGAAACCTGGTTGGCGATTTACCGCCGGTTCCAGTCTGGTTTCTAAAATTGAATGGTCAAATATCTTTCACTTGGTACCGTCCAAAACCCGGGGAGCGAAGAGACTCTCGGGGACAGGCAACTTGGTATCGTTTACTTGGTGGGACAGCTCGGGGGCTCTCGTGAAGCGCCTCTGAAGCGCTGCCCGGGACGCTTCCATGCGTGCCTGCACGCGTGCAGGCACGCGTGGACTCGGGCCGGAAGCGCTCCCGGACCCGCTGCGACCCCAAACAGATCGCTGCGGGGATTCCGGGGCGGCGAAGATGGGCTGCTAGCAAGCACCACCACCGTCCTGCTTCTATTCTGAAATCCTAAAGCTCTCAGAGAGCTCCCCGGGAAAATAGCAAACGCGGACCCCGGGTCACATTTTTCCACTTCATTTTTAGATAGCAGATTTTTCGCACCTGTAGTGGGTTATGCCGCGTCTGCCAGTCAAATTCTCAGGTCCGTGTAGGTGCAGTATTATTATTATTAAAACATTTGGAGAAACCGACGTAACTCGTAGAGCTTCCCTTAGCTAGTTGCTGGAAGCTTAAGAGTAATTCCGGGGCGCTGGAGAGCTAGTTGGCAAGAAAAATCTCGACGGACCTTTTGGTGACTTTTGGTCGGTTGAAAATTTTGTTCTCGAAATTCCTCAATTCGTTTGAGCTCTAGTACTCTTTCCCATGATATTCGATCTTATTGCCGCTCGCCGTCTTGATCTCAGCTCGATCGGGTACCTTTCACTGCCAAAAAGCACACAGGCGGGATCGGCGGTTTCAAGTCATCTCGACAGGTGTTGTCGGTTTTTTGTACTTAACTCGAGCTATAGGACAGCTACAGAGCTGATGCTTACAGAAACCGGTTTAGAATAATGAGGCGCGCTTGTCTGTTAAATCCAGAGGTCTGAACTCGGTCTGCTGCTCGAGCTAGGTCCGCGAAACTATTCGTATTGTTCGAGTCATCTTGAGAGGTGCTTTCGGTTTTCTGCACTTAACTCGGGCTGTAGGGCGGCTACAGGGCTGGTAATCACAGAAACCGATTCGGAGACATCAGGCGTGTCCGCCTGTCGCATGCAGAGGTCTGAACTCGGTCTGCTACTCGAGCCAGGTCCGCAAAACTATTCGTATCGCTCGAGTCATCTCAACAGGGACTGTCGGTTTTCTGTACTTAACTCGAGCTCTAGGGTAGCTACAGAGCTGATTCGCACAGAAACCGATGCAGAATAATCAGGCGCGTTCGTCTGTTGCATCCAGAGGTCTGAGCTCGATCTGCTACTCGAGCTAGGTTCGCGAAGCTATTCGTATTGTTCGAGTCATCTTGAGAGGTGCTGTCGAATTTCGCACGTAACTCGGGCTGTAGGAGAGCTACAGAGCTGATACGCACAGAAACTGATTCAGAATCATCATGCGCGTTCGTCTGTTGCATCCAGAGGTCTGAACTGGGTTTGCTACTCGGGCTAGGTCCGCAAAACTATTCGTATTCTTCAAGTCACCTTGACAGATGTTGTCCCTTTTCTGTATTGAACTCGGGCTGTAGGAGAGCTACAGAGCTGGTACGCACAGAAAACGATCCAGAAGCATCAGGGGCGTTTGGCTGTCGCATCGAGAGGTCTGAAATAGCTCGGGCTGAAAAACTATTCGTTCTCTGCTATTTTTTTGACATAATATATGGTCAGGAAGCTCTACGAGTCCCCCGGTAAGAAAGGTTGTCGGTTTACCGCCGGCGCCCAGTTGGATAAAAACATGTTTTTTTTTGTTTTCCAGATTTTTTCGTATCTCGCTCCAGAAGCTTTCTTCGTGTGTTTTGATGATCGCCGTGCAAGAAAAGAGCTCTACGAGGTTCCCGGCGGTAACCAGGTTGACGGTTTACCGCCGGTTCCCAGTTGCCTTACCTCGTAGAGCTCTTCGGCATCGATGAGCTAGAGGAATTCCGGCGCGGGGTGGAGCTAGTTGGCCGACCCGACCAGAACGGACAATGTGTTGACTTTTGGTCGGTTTTGCTAAGATTTGAAAGGTATTCAACTATTCATCTTGAGAAAGCAGATTTTTCGCACCTGTGGAAGATTATGAGGGCCTCTGCGTCTTAATATGAGCTCCGTAGGCGCACTTTTACCACAAAACATGTGGCGGAACCAACTTTATGTCGACATGAAAAAAATGTTTTTTTTTTTCCCCTTTTTCGAGAAATGCTTCCAGAAGCTCTCTCTTTCGATTCTGAGCACTCTCACGTGCGCAAGGAGCTCTGCGAGGTTCCAGCGGTGACCAGGTTGACGGTTCACCGCCGGCGCCAGTCTCTAAAGGTCGGGTCTGCCAACTGGATGCCGGCGGCAAACCGTCGAGCTTTCTCGCCAGGGGACTCGTAAAGCTTCCTGACCATACCTCGTAGAGCTCTTCGACATCGATGAGCTAGAGGAATTCCGGCGCAGGTTGGAGCTAGTTGATCGACCCGGCCAGAAAGGACAATGTGGTAACTTTGGGTCGGTTTTGCTGATATTTGAAAGATATTTAACCATTCATTTTGAGAAACCAGATTTTTGCGCTGAGCATGCGCATATAAACTTTGTTCGTAGAGCAGCTTAGCTCTTCCGAGGGAGTTTTACTATGGGTTGACTTCCAGGAACGGACCTCGTATGGACATCGAAAATTACAAACATGAAGATTTTAAGAAAATCTTCTCCGAAGGTCTCTGCTTCGATTCTGATCACTCTAGTGCGTGCGATGAGCTCTACAAAGTTCCCGGCGGTGACCAGGTTGACGGTTTACCGCCGGCGCCAGTATATTATGTCCAAAGAATAGCAGGGAACAAATAGTTTTGCAGCGCGAGCTGATAGCAGATTGATCTGTCTATCTAGTGATATCCCATTTGATGTGCTGAACAGCTATATAGCTCATCAGCAGCGTGTGGGAAGTATAGGGAGCAAGTAGCAGAGTACGAATCCGTGTTTGGCGTCTGCGTTCACAACAGACCCAAACCAAGCGTCTAGATGCTTCACGCCTCATGATTTACTTCTGATTTTTTTCGGGCGCTCGAGTTCAGTGAATAAATTCACCATTATTCGAAAAAAATACCGGTCGAGTACGCATAATTTTGTGAACCTAGCTTGGGTAGCAGACCGAGATCAGACCTCTCAATGCAACAGACGAACCTCTCCTGATGCTTCTGGATCGGTTTCTGTGCGTACCAGCTCTGTAGCTCTGATACAGCCCGAGTTCAATACAGGAAATAGACAACATCTGTCAAGATGATTCGAAGACTACGAATAGGTTTGCGGACCTAGCCCGAGTAGCAAACCCAGTCCAGACCTCTGGATGCAACAGACGAACGCGCATGATGATTCTGAATTAGTATCTGTGCGTATTAGGTTTAGCTCCCCTACAGCCCGAGGTACGTGCGAAAACCGACAGCACCTCTCAAGATGACTCGAACGATACGAATAGTTTCGCGTAGCTCGAGTAGCAGACCGAGTTCAGACCTCTAGATGCAACAGACGAACGCGCCTGATTTTTTTTGCAT